CTCCAGGTCTTAAAGGCGTATGTCTCCAATACTGGCTGTATCCCTGAACACACAGAAATCTACCTAGCTCTTCTAACCACCACGCTCTTGCTATGGCTCTAATAACTCTGACCCCAGGGCAACTTTATTAACATAAAATTAAAATTACATTTCAGTACAAATAAAATATCACCACAGGGTACCCTCACACACATGTGCGTACACAGAGGCCAGGGTACCCTCACACACATGTGCATACACAGAGGCAGGGGTACCCTCACACACATGTATACACAGAGGCCATGATACCCTCACACACATGTGCATAAACAGAGGCAGGGGAACCCTCACACACATGTGCATACACAGAGGCAGGGATTAAGGAGAGGGAGAGGCATTTATTTCTCACTGTTCTAGAGGCTGAGAAATCCAAGCTCAGATATTTAGCTCCTGGTGAGAGCTCTCTGCCTGACTTGCAGTTGGAACCTTCTCACTCTTGCAGAAGGAGGGGGGGTCCTTCTTTTTTTAAATATATATATGATTTTTATTTTATGTTCATTGGTGTTTTGCCTGCATGGATATCTGTGTGTGGGTATCAGAAGTCTTGGAACTGGACAGATGTGAACTACCATGTGGGTGCTGGGAATTGAACCTGGGTCCTCTGGAAGAACAGCCAGTGCTCTTAACCCACTGAACCTTCTCTACAACCCCCTTCTTCCTATAAGGCCCTAATCATGAGGGCCCCACCCTCTTGGACTTGCTCAACCCTAAACATTCACTAAAGGACCTTCTTTCTAACACCATCACATAGGACGGCGGAGGCTGCCCATGTGACCTGGAGAGGACATAAGTATTCAGTCCATTGGTCCATAGCCACCTTCATCCCCTGTCACTCTTGAGTGCTACGCCCAGCAGTTACCATCCCATGGTGTACTTCATACATTTGTGTTTCCATAGTCTCCTTGTTGAGGCACAATTGACACAAATCAATTATTTCTAGTATATTTACCAGGTTGTGCAGCCATAACCATGGTCCATTTTAGAACACTTTTATTACCTCAATTAAAAAGCACAGGACTCATAACAACCCCCTCCTTCCCCTCTCCTAATCACACTCCACATTCCACTTTATTGTTTTGTATTGTCCCTCTCCCTGCTGAAAGCTGTTCTCTCTTCCTCACAGTACAATATTCGAATTGTTCACTGGTAGAACAACAGCCTCAGATGTGTGGTACGTAGTAGGGCCGCCGGAAGAATGAAGTTCAAAGGGAAGGAAGCGGGGAGGACTCCAAAAAGTATGAAGGAAATCAATTAGAATGTGTGGCCAAGTTTGCTAGCTGACTTGATTGGATTAAAAAATGCCCCGAGAGGACCACGGGGTCGGCTCTGTGGACTCAGGTGCTGCCGCCAAGCCTCATGACCCATATTCCATCCTCACGACCCACATGAAAGAAGGGAACCCTCTCCTCTGTCCTCTGACACACCCCCATGCATGCCTTGAAATGTGCACATTCACACACATAATACACAAATAAACGGTGTAAAAAAAATTAAGACATGTCTAAAAGATTAGGAAGCATTCTTCTCGGTGTGACTGTGATGGCGTTTCCAGAGACGATGAGATCATGGAGGTTTGGTCCTAATGAATGGACTCATCCCCTGAAGGATTCGTAATGTGATAGCATTGTTGGTAGGTAGCAAGAGGCAGGAGGCAGGGGCCAAGTTAGAGGAAGCAGGTCACTGGGGGCGTCCTGGGGAATACGTGTCTCACACTGGCGTCTTCCTGTATGCCTCCCTCTCTCTATTTCCCACCCACAAAGAAGCAAAGAACAACCTTTACCACACATTCCTGTCATCATGGCATTCTGCCCAAGCACGTGAGGCCAAGAGAGGACACAGGGTTTCAGAGGACTGAACCTGTGAGCCGAAGAACATCTTTCTTCTCTCGTTTCTGTCAGGCATGTTGCCATAGCGATGCAAAAAATACTCACACAGAGGAACAGTCAAGGTTGGGGTGTCCCAGGTTTGAAGGATACTTGGTTGTATACCCCCTAATTCAGGCTTGTGCCCTCCAGCCAGACCAGCTCTATCTGTTTCTTCTCTGTTGCTGTGATAAAATGCTCATGACCAAAAGCAGCCTGGAAGAGGAAACGGTTTATTTCAGCTTCCACTTTCGGGTCACAGTCCATCACTGAGGGAAGTCCAGGCACAAACTCAGGCAGGAGCCTGGAGGCAAGAGCTGAAGCAGAGGTAGCGGAAGAATGTGGCTTACGGGCTTGCTCCCAGCTCATGGCCATCCTGCTTTCTTACATAACTCAAGACTACCTGCCTGGGGATGGCGCCGCCCACAGTGGGCTAGGCCTTCCCACATCAATCAATCAACAGTCAGGATGGTTTCCCCTGCCCCCAGGTCTGAGAATGACCTGAGAAATCCCTCTGTTGAGATCCTCTCTTTCCATGTGACTTCTTGCCTGTGTCAAGTTGACAATAAAAACTGACCAGGACAGCAAGCAAAGGAAACTCTAGCTGTATTTGCTCGAGACTCAGTGGATGGTTACAAAGCTCATCTTTCAGTTCCTGGTGGAGCTGGAGTGTGGATTTCTGCACCACTAAACTGTGCAGAAGTTGATACAGCAATTCCAGCAGATCTGGAGCACTCAGAAGCTTCTGGACCCAGAATCCCACCTGCAGGAGTCCCTGGCCCATGCAGGACATGGCCATTTGGGAGACATGCTGCATCTCTGTGGTAGCAGGTCATGAGGGACCGGGAGGCTGGCACAGGCACTGAATTCGTCACCTTTTTTCACGGTCACCAACTGCCTGACAGACCAATGTGAGGGAAAGGGTCTATCTGGGCTCACAGTTTCAGAGGGTTCCTCCCCGGCCTCTTGGTTCTGTTTCTTGGCTCACCAGGAGACAGAACATCATGGTGGTGGGAGTATGTGTCCAAGGGCACTTTCTTACCTCCATGAAAACAGGATGCCAAGAGCAAGACAGGAAGAAAGCAGGGACATGATACCCTCAGGGAC